CTATTTCTGAAAAACTCATGGAGAGAAAGTTTTCTCTCTTCACTGTTCTAGAATTCATGTTGTTACTCTATGTGGACTTGGGAATATGTGCTCTGGACCGCTGTAAAGTAAAGAGGCTGGTTATCTGGGATTACTTGTGGCATCTAATTTTAGTGTAGTTGTATTTATGAGTGATAAGTGATGGAAACTCTCTAGCTTAATGCAAGATGGTCCCCTTTCATTCCATTGTCTTCAGTAATGCCTGAAAGATTATTTAGTCTGAGGTCATAATAATAAAACCAAACCAAACCCACTGCCATTGAGTGGATTCTGACTCATAGCCATACCAAAGGACAGAGTAGAACTGCCCCCATAGAGTTTCCAAGGCTATAAATCTTCATGGAAGTAGACTGTCTCATTGTTCTCCCATGGAGCAGCTGATGGGTTTGAACTGCCTACCTTTTGGTTAGCAGCCCAATGATGTTACCACAGCACCTCAAAAACAAAACAAAACAAAAACAAACTCACTGCCGTCAAGTCAGATCTGACTCATAGTGACCCCTCCTTGGGTTTCTGAGGCAGTATAACAATGGAAGTAGATTGCCCACCAGACTTCTGGTTAGTGGTCAAATGCCTTAGGCACTACGCCCACAGCAGAAGTGCTAATTTATTCAGTGTTACTTGAAGCCAGCCTCTGCTCTGTCTACTTTTTATATATTTACTACCTTATTCCTTACAATATCATGTAAGAAGGTACTTCTACTACCTCCTTGTACAGATGAGGAAACTGAAGTATACTAAGGCACTCGTATAGTAAAGGGCACAATTAGAATTTCAGCCTAAGCAGGCTGGCTCCAGATCCCATGCTTTGGATTATCATATTTCATTGCCTTTTAGTGTCTCGATGTAGTTAATATTCTTAAGTGTTTATTACATTGATATTGAGAAATTTCCAAACTTTATAGCAGTTCTTATAATACAATTTATTTGGCTCATAAATTGATTTTTAAGATTGCTTTCTATTTACATTTCTTGACAATTTTATTTTTCCACTTCTGGTGAAAGAAATAAAGAAAACAAGTTAGGAAATGGATTCATTAAAAACTCATAGTTAAAGAGCATAAATGGTATTATTCAATTCACTTAAAGTATGGTGACAGCATTAAGGCAAACTCCAGGAAAGCTATGAGCAATTTCAAATTGCAAGTTCATGTGATAGAGTATACACTTATCAAAGAGAAAAAAGGTTGTTACTATCCATTTTAGTAGGTTAATAGTGCCTAACAGAGCATTTCCTTATTTTGACTTTCAATTGCCTCATCTTTGAAATGGGAAAATGGTAGTTTTGACCTGATAGGTAGTTATGAAGACTCAATGAGAGTGCCTCCATAAATTATCTTGTATAGAGCCTGGCACTTAATAGGCACTCCATAAAGGGTACTTTGTTATTATGATTATGAACTATGTTATTATAAAAGGTGATTGTTGAGTTTTGCTACTGAACCATCATCATAAAATTAATTATCAACTTCAGAATGTGTGACATCAATCTTCAGAAAAAAGTGAATGTGTTTTGCACTTGCTGGAAAATCTATTAAGACCTTGTATATTGTACTAGGCCCCAGGTGATAAAAATCTATTTTAGATTTAATCCAGGAAAAGCTTGTTTTTGTTTTTCTCCTCCTTGTTGAATTGCTTTATGCCTCCTTCTGTCTGGGAATGTGAGTTCACCTTATGTGCCAAATTGTTCTGAGTATATTTAACAAGCCATTACAGCAAGCTTTGTATCTTTCAGTTAGACATACTAACTCCCTCATATCAAAGTTATGGATTTTCATTTCTATTGCAACAGCATTATTATACACATATTTCTTTATTCTAATCTAACTTAGATATTTTGGCGAGGGTATATATTATAAATAATACTTTAGAAATAATTGAATGTTTCTGCCATTTCAACAGCTACAAGAATATGCCTTGCTCATGCATTAGTGAGTATCAGAATCACCCGAAGTGGGGCGGGGCTTGTTAAAACACGGACTCCTGTACCTCACTCCTAGGGTTCAGTATCTGTAGGTCTGAGGTGTGGCCTCTATATGTGCACTTCTAATAAGTTCACAGGAGTCCCTGGGTGGTGCAAACAGTTAAACCTCCACCACTAACTGAAAGATGAGCAGTTCAAACCCATCCAGGGGCAATTGGAAGACAGGCATGATGACCTGCTTCTGAAAGGTCACAACCCTGAAAACCCTACGGAGCAGATCTACTTTGCACACATGGGTCACCATGAGTCAGAATTGACTTGATGGCAACTAACAGATCCCAAGGTGGTGTGGATCCTGCTGGTCTGGGGATCACACTTTAAGAATCACTACTTTAGTAAACTGATCAAATTATTTCAACCCCATTTTACCTTTACCTTTTCCTCTCTATCTTTTTATGTTCTTCCAATTCAATGTCATTCATGCTCATGCCATTGATATTTTTTAGTGTTAAGTGGACTGGTTGCAACTACAATAATGGAATCTCTACATAACATCAGAAGACAAATACTAAAGCAGTACACCAATTAGTAATGCTTAGTCATAGGATGGCCAGCAGGACTAAAGATGACATTATTTGCAGGAATTAGTTCCACAGGACTCTAGTACTAATGTTGTTGTTGTTGTTATTTGCCGTTGAGTCGCTCCCGACTCATAGTGACCCCTCCTTGGGTTTCCGAGGCAGTATCACTACGGAAGTAGGATTGCCCAACCTTCCTTCCGAGGAGTGGCTGGTGGGTTTGA